GCTGTGGCTCAAGAGGTAGAGCGCTAGCCTTGAGTTGAAGAACTGAGGGACAGTGCCCAGGCCCAGAATTCAGGCCTCACGACCGGACCCCAAAAAAAAAAAAAAAAAGGGCAAATGAGGTAGAGTGACAGCCAATGCATCAGATACAGAGTTTAAGACTCCATCTCAGACCTACAAAAAGGAAAAAACAGCAAATAAAAGGGCTCAAGTGGTAGAATGTCTATTTGTTAACTGTGAGGCCATGAACTCATACCAAGAACGAAAAGTTTAGTATGCAAAGTGTGGTAACATAGTAATACAATTGACACAGAGAGGGAATAACTATGGGATAATGATTTGATTTCCAAATCTATAAAAGCATGACTCTGATTCAACTCACTTGTCAATTCTAATACACCTCCTAGAGGATTAAGTCTCTTAAACATATCTCTCCTGTTCTTTTTTCATATACTAGCCTGATTTGCCCCCCAATCTGCAAGCTATTAAAGGAGAAAAGATAGTATTCCAATCCTTTTATTATTCCTCATCTTAGATGTGAATGAGAAAAGACAGAAAGTCACTTACTTTTCATTAGTTTTCCTGATAAATCTTTCAGTGGAGAAGAGGGAATATTTCTACTGGCTACTGTAAGTTTGGAAGAGGATTCTTGGGTATCCAGGGAAACTTGATGAGCTCCTGCTCTGGCCATTTCAAGAAGAGAATGGGCACTGTCACATTCCTGGGAAAGCAGTAAGTGATTCTGAGTGTTGCTAGTTCTATTATTCAGTTCAAGTCCATCTGATTGAGTCATAAGCAATTGGGTAGAGTTAGAATCCTTCAACCTCTTATCAAGAGACTCAGTTATAAAAGATGCTGTAGTCTGGTGCTTTTTAGATGGAGAGACAGGCTCAGCCAGTGAACTCTGCTTCACTGTGTTTAGACTGTGTGCTCTTATTCGGGACCAAGTTGTAGAGTGAAAACTTTCAGCCTCTAGCCAAAATTTAACCAAATGCTCCATTCTCCGAAGTTCCATGAATTGAATGAAATATGGGAGGACAACAGTGTCATGTAAGACTTGTTCAAGGGTTTTTGAAAGACTTGATTTGGTCTCTTGAGTCTGATAGTCCAGACAAGATCTGCCTAAAAGATAGAAGCAAAGGAATCAGCAGTTTGGTAACAAATAATTTCTGATCTAAATATTAGCCAATCACTTTTGGCAACAGTAGTAACCAGATATCTTGAATAAACTTTACTTCCAGCATTAAAATAAGAATTAGAAGAAGTACTATGGTTCTGGTTTCTAAATATTACAAAAAAGTCTAAAATTTAAATTATTAAAAAGTACTTTGTTACTCAATCCTCATACCTCTTTCAGTAATGAATCTGACTGTAGGTTGTTTTTTATTTTGGTGGCACTGGCGATTGACCTCAGATCCTCATCACTTGAGCCACACTCCTAGCCCTTTTTGCTTTTAGTGTTTTACAAATAGTGTTTTACTATTGCTCATGCTGGCTTCCATCTGCATCCAACTTTGTCTTCAAGTAACTGAGACCATAGGCATGTACCATCAAATCAGCTTGTTTTCTAACTTCTGCTTGGGCTAGCATCCAATGTGATCCTCCTATAAGGTTATAGGCTTGCACCACTACACTGTACTCCTTAATCATGTAAAATGTTCAAGAAAAAGATGATGGAATACCGGGCACAAGTGGCTCATACCTGTAATCTATCTACTCAGGAGGCTGAGATCTGAGGATCAAGGTTCAAAGCCAGCTCAGGCTTAAAAGTCCCTGTAAGACCCTTATCTCCAATTAACTACCAGAAAACTGGAAGTGGTGCTGTGGCTTAAAGTGGTAGAGCACTAACTAAGCCTTGAGCAAAAGAGCTCAGGGACAGCACTCAAGTCCTGAGTTCAAGCACAACTGACAAAAAATAAAATTAAATAAAGTAATAATACAATCTAGGACTGGCACTGGTTCACTACACATGTGTACACACACACATACACACACACACACACAAAATTCAAGTCCCAGTACCAGTATTTTAAAATGCTATGCACAATGGAATCATCTGTAATGTGACTTTTGAGAGTAGTTTTTATCTCTCAGCACAATTCTCTTGAGATTCATTCAAGTGACTATTATCAGTTGTTCTTTTTTATCCCCAAGTATTATTTCATGGTTTTAAAAAAAACAGTTCATTCACCTGTTGAAAGACACTTTTTCACTATTAAGCTGACATGAACATTCATTTGCAGGTTTTTGTTAACAATGTTTTTCAGTTTTCTGAGATAAATGCCAAAGAGTACAATTAGTGGGTCATACGGTAATTACAAATTTTGCTTCCCAAGAAATTGCCAACATATTTTCCAGAGTATCTGTACTAATAAACATTCTCACCAGGAAAATGCATAGTTTTACTATCTGGAATATACTACTGAGTGTGTCCCACAAAAAAAATTTACATCCTTTCTTTGAATATGAAGTAGTTAAGCAGAGCTGTGGATGAGATAATCTTTTATTTTTTTTTGTTTTAATAGTGGGGCTTGAACTCAGGGCCTTGCACACTTGCTTAGCTGTTTTGCTCAAGGTTGGTACTCTACCACTTGAGCCATACCTCCACTTTGAAGGGGACCTTATTGCAAGCCAATTCATTTATGAATTTTGCTTAATTTACAAGACCATGATGAAGTGCAGAAATTTGAGTGACATTTAGAAAAAGAATTTAACAAAGATGTGACTGTACATATGTTATGTCTACTGCTTTTTATCACTTTAACATATCTTTGACATTACAGTTTTTCATAAATGACTTTAAAGTGGCTACCTTGTATACCACAGTATAAGGAAACCACAATTTGACTATTTCTTTACAAACAAGTATTTTGTGTTCTTCCTGATTTTTGCTATCGTGAACAATACTATGTGAATTGCCTTATACATACTTATATATACATCTTTGTACATGTTTTAGCATACTTTATACCCAGGTCCTGTCTAAATGGCATGCATATATTACATATGTGTGAACAAATACATACACATACACACATACCTCTAGCATGTGACAGTTACTTACCCAGGTCCCCAAAATGAGCAGCCTCCATATGACTTGGCTGCTTCTTAAGTGTTGCTGTCCTGCTACTTGAAAAGGAGTCCATGTTGGCAGAAATGGCATTGATTGCGACATGACTTGGTCCTGCAGCCTCCAGCAAGGCATGATTTTTAGTGCTTTTTTGTGGGGAATGTACGGATATTGAAGCTACAATTTTTCAAAAAAAAATCATTAAAAGCTAAACACAAGTTGATAACTTAAAACTCTCATAAAAGGCCTATACGCTAACTTGAAAAGTTAGATTTTCTAACATTTTACTTAAGCAATACACTCAACCAAAATAATTAAGATAAAAAAATAATTCAAGTTAAGTAGGAAAGCAAACAGTCTAAAGTAAGTATTATTTAAAACTTTCAAAATACTGTTATCAAAAATAGAACTTAAGCTGTGTGTCAGTGGCTCACACCTGTAATGCTAGCTACTCTGGAGGCTGAAGTATGAAGATAGAGGTTCAAAATCAGCTCAGGCAGGAACATCCATAATATTCTTATCTCCAATTAATTTCCAAAAAGCCAAAAGTGGAGCTGTGGCTCAAATGGACAGCATTCAGCCCTAGGATTGGCATTGGCACAAACAACTTGAAAGAGATATCTCTCAAACTAATCCTTTAACCTGAGTTCTGATCTTATGTGTCTATTTATTATTGGACATTCCCACTTTGACTCTGCCATCTCAAGACCAACATAACCTAGGGGCTGGGAAGGTGGCTCAGTGGTAGAGTGCTTGACTTGCATGCATGAGGCCCTGGGTTCAATTCCTCAGCACCACATAAGCAGAAAAAGCCGCAAGTGGGGCTGACACTCAAGTGGTAGAGTGCTAGCCTTGAGCTGAAGAGCTGAGGGACAGCTCCCAGGCCCAGAGTTCAGGCCCCACGACCGACCAAAAAAAAAAAGACCAACATAACCTAAACTAATTCTTCTAATTATCCTGTCTGTGCTCAGCCCACTAGTCTCTAAAGCCCCAAACAACAGGCCAATTCCTTTCCTGTAGACTGGTTTACCTGTCAATATTTCTTGTTTTTTCCTTCAAGAGCTTAAACATTTACTTACCTGTTAATTTTATTTAGTCATTTATTTATTTACTTTATTTAGTACAAGTACTAGAGCTTAAACTGTTACGCTCTTACTTGGTGTTTGCAAGGCTGGTGTTTTTCCACTTGAACCATGTGTCCACTTCGGGCTTTTTGCTGGTTAATTGGAACTAAAAAGTCTTAAGACTTGTTTGCCCAATGGCTTTGAACTGGCATCCCCAGATCTCAGTCTCCCGAGTAGCTAAGATTATAGGTGTTAGCCACCAGCACCCAGCTTACTCGTTTATTTTTAATACCACACCCTTAGTATAGGTATTTCTGTGTTACAAAAGAACCTCTAGGGTCTCAGTCCTTTTATAAGTCTTCCAGACTAACATTTAATAAATACCACACAACACAAGTATCCTATTCAAAGGCCCACAGTGGCTCCCCGTCTTCTCTGGCTCAACTTTCTCTTTTCTGGTCTTCATGACTCTATAACCTCATCTCTCTTTCTGTAGTAACTTCCATTTACTTATCTGAAGGCCATTCCGCCTAATATATATTCAGCAAATAAAATAACAGCTAAGCTGGTCAGGAGAAAAGAAACAACCTGTTGTTTCATTCAAGCCCTTCTAATTCTTTAACTTTTTTTTTTTTTTGCTGGTCCTGGAGCTTGAACTCTGGGCTTGAGTTCCTTTTCGCTCTAGGCGAGTGCTCTACTACTTGAGCCACTGTGCCACTTCAAGTTTTTTCTGGATTAACTAGAGATAAGAATCTCATACTTTCCTGCCCTGGCTGGCTTGAAACTGTGATTCTCAGATCTCAGCCTCCTGAGTAGCCAGGAGCTAGGAGCCACTGGTATCCACTTAATGCTTCAACTTTTATACATCCTTTCTGACCTTCAGAAATCCTTTGCTGATCTCAAATTTGCCTGAACTCCTTATGATACTTTACTTCATTAACTAATTTAACAACTGGGGCCTCCTGTGTTTACACTAGACAAGAATTGCTATCAACTGGGTACTTGCTACATACTAAGGCACTGTTAGACACTATTGCAATTTTCTATTTACCTTTATTTAATTTTAATTTTTTTTGTGCCAATCCTGCGGCTTGAACTCAGTGCCTGGGATCCATTCCTAAGCTATTTTTTTTTAACCACTTGAGCCACATCTCTACTTCTGGCTTTTTTTGTGTGTGTATCAGTCATGGGGCTTGAACTCTGGGCCTGAGCACTGTCCCTCAGCTCTTCAGCTCAAGGCTAGTGCTCCACCACTTGAGCTACAGAGCCACTTCCGGTTTTCTGGTGGTTTTTATTGGAGATAAGAGTTTCACGGACTTTCCTGACTGGGCTGGCTTTGAACCGTGATCCTCAGATCTCAGCCTCCTGAGTGGCTAGGATTTACAGGTGTGAGCCACCAGCGCCTGGCTACTTCTGGCTTTTTAACTGGAGATAGGAGCACCATGGACTTTCCTGTCCTAAGGTGGCTTTGAACTGTTATCCTCAAATCTCAGCCTCCTGAATAGCTAGGAATAGCCACTGGTGCCAGGCAATTTTGCTTTTTGTCTCTCCTAATAATCCTCTAGGGATGGTATTTACCCTGTTTTGAAAGTGAAGTAAAATGTGTAAAAAAGTTAGTTTCCTTACATCTATGAAACACACACACACACACACACACACACACACACACACACACAAAATAAGTGACTCAAAAGCACTTCCCACTCAACAGCATTCTAAGAGTGAACATATAATCTCCCAGCTTGGCAAGCCAGAGGTAACAACCAACCTTAAGTCTCTTTCTCCTTCACTCTTAATGTTTAATCAGTAACCAAATTCTATTCACTTCTTAATTTTTTCTCTTTATTCCAATCACTACCAATCTAACTGCACAAGACACCTGCCAAATTATTTGATTAATGTTCCTTTCCCTTGTCAATGTGTAAATTCAATACAGTCTAGTCCCAAGTTTTTTTTTGGGGGGGGTCCGGTCGTGGGGCTTGAACTCTGGGCCTGGGCGCTGTCTCTCAGCTCTTCAGCTCAAGGCTAGCACTCTACCACTTGAACCACAGCGCCACTTCCAGCTTTTTTCTTTTTGCTTATGTGGTGCTGAGGAATCAAACC